ACGTCTCTCGGTTTTACGGTTGCAGCCGTCGTTGGGATCCCTGCTAGCTGGCAAGAGGGTTCGATTGTCGGGGGTCAGTTGCATCCTCAAACGGCCGCCCCTGAACTCACGCAGATTCTTGGCCGTGCTCTTGTCCGCCCCGTAAATCGCCGATCCGTCTATGAACGCCGACACCTGCAAAATGAAAAAAGAACGTCTTTCGTTTCTCTCTCTTTCTCCCTTTCGAAGGGGATAAAATTTATCAATCTCCTTTATCGTCCTCGTTTCCATCGAGAATCGTTATTATTATCAGGGAATAACGAACGCGTGATTACGAAACTCGTGGAATATAATGAGGTTAATTAACAGCGTTGTTAACGGCGCGAGCTTATTGTTCCGGGGGAAATTTTTCATCGATCTCGACTGCAATTTCGCGCCCCAAGAATTACGATTTTTAACTACGATTTACGAGTTAATATATCGATGAATTTGAATTAATTGGGGAAACGAGGAGAATCGAAGATCGGTCGAGTTTTGCTTTTACCTGGTTCAACTGTTGCCTGGGGCCGAGTTTGCACTGGGGTGCCGGGGCCGATCTGACGAAGTCCATGCAGGTTCTTCCTGCGACGTCGAACACGGGATCTCCGGAGGAGACTGGGACGGGGAAGCACTCGGGATGGGCGTTGGACGGTGGGCAGCACGAAATGGAGGTGCCGTTCAGACCTTGGCTGAGGGCAGTGGCCGTGATATCGTGGTCCAGAAATTGGCCGTAAACGGCCAGCATCACCGTGAAACTCGGGTTGCTGCTCGGCGAAGGTTTGTGCACTATCAGGCTGACCTCCCTCGCCGAGGGTAGATCGGCGCCTGAAGCCGCTTTGCGGGGCGAGTTGATGCCGTCCCCGTAATCAGGGGGCAGGTGTCTTATGAAGGGTGTCATCGCGACTCCCATCTGCATAGGCCTGTTGCAACTTCCGTCGAGGGTCCTGTATTTGGCGGTGAGTGGACAGTGAGGTGTAGCCAATCGCTTGCACGCGCCTGAAACGAAGATCCGCGTTTTAAACCGCCAGTATGATCGTTTGTAGATTGGAGGAATTATTTTATTACCGAAAATTTTCCACCCTGCGTCGAAGAAGCTTCCAATGGCAGACGGCTCTCCCCGAGTGGCCCTCAAGTTTTCGATCTTCCTGGTCGCCGCAAGCTCGGCAACAGCGGCCAGGGCAAGCGTGCCGGCGTCGGCGCACGTG